TAATAGGTCAGTTGGAAAGCTGTTTCATCCTGAGAAGAGAGAAGTGCCTATACAAGGAACATTTTTTTCTTCCTACATGAGTTCGCTGCGAGCTGTTTCATCCTACATGGGTCCGCCGCAAGCTGTTTCATCCTACGGGAGTTCGTCGCGAGTAGCTTCAAATCATTTCAGAAGCTTTAATGCAAGGTGTACGTGAATCTATTTTTATGTATTTAACAGATAACTAAGCGAATTTTTAATTTATTCGAATTCCATTAGTTATGCCAAAAAGGCATAGCCTGGTTGATCAAAGTACTCTCAAGAGATCGAAAATTGATCACACGAGATCAAAGGAAGATGCTTCACTCTATAGTTCGTCTTTCTTCTCTGAAATTGTACCTAATGAAGAAAATGTTGAAGAATCAAAAACAAAAGGTCATGAAATCAAGCTCAACTTTAAAGAATCAAAAATCGAAGTATTGTACGAGTTTCTTAAATTTCAGTCCTTTAACGGTGAATTTAATAGTGCAGGTTTTTATCCGTGCTTTGATAAGAAGGAAGCTAAAGATTTTAAAGAGATTGGCATTGATAACGAAAAAATTCTGTGCACTGCATTAGCAATCGAATATTTGGAGGTTGTGATGTTTGGGCAATTTAAGGATGAGTGTGAGATGTGTTGGGAAAAGGCTAATAAAGCACTGAGGAAATTGGTTAATGAAAAGGAGTTTGACGATGTTTTGAAAAAATCCAGAGATTGGATTTTAAAGTGGGTAGAAACAAATTAACATTACATTTTTGTTACAGTATGTGATATTATAATTGCTTTAGAATCGCTCTTATTGTTACAGTAATTACAGTACAGTACTGTAATATCATTTTTATTTTATCACCACTTGATTTTCTGCCACCTCATCCAATTTTATCAATAAAATAGTATACAAATAGGATTTTGTCGTTTGACATCGGAAAAATACTTCATAATTGTAGAAGCAAACGAATTTAGGATTTTATACGATAAGCTCGTACCTTCCTTTTATATGAAGTATCATAAATTGATAACGGTCCCTCGAATATTTACGAAGTTAAAGGACGCAAATATAGGATTATTAACAACCATTTCATCAATTCCTGTCACTAGACGTAGTACTGTATATTCTTATTCTCTTTGTCGTTTCATATCCAGGATTCTGCATCTTTATTTAACAAGACAATTGCTTGTCTTCAGAGTCGGTATCAATCAATAAGATAATAGTATTAAAATTGCATTACAGTTTCTTATTAAAAAAATTTGCTAGGAGTGCGCAAATTACTGTACTATAATAAACTACATTACGGTTACAGTACTGTACTGTATGACGTCATCACTTATTCATTTAAAAGACAGGATAGAAGTTAATTTTTTTCCCTCAATTTTTTTTTTTTTTTGATTTATACGTGACATCATAAAGAATACGTAAATCGAACAATGGATAATAAGTTTGTATGACACCACGAATTAACAAAAACAAAAACACGGTCTCAATGTCGTTTTATCATTCATTTACCTTTCTTATCTTCTGACTCCTCTTTGTATCTGTCAAAACAAACCAGGAATACAGATTCGTCTCGTTTATGGAGCT